GTAGAGTTGTAGGAATTTGTCCATCTCCTCTAGATTGTTAAACTTGTTTCCATATAACTGTTCATAGTAGTTACTGATTATTCTTTTGATTTCTGCTGTGTCCGTTGTGATTTCTCCTCTTTCATTGATGATCCTGTTTATTTGTGCTTTCTCCCTTTTTTCCTTTGTGAGCCTGGCTAGGGGTTTGTCTATTTTATTGATTTTTTCAAAGAACCAGCTCTTGGTTTCATTGATCTTTTGGATTGTTTTTTTAGTTTCAATTTCATTTATTTCTGCTTTGGTTTTTATTATTTCTTTTCTTCTACTGGTTTTGGGTTTTTTTTGTTGTTTTTCTAGATCTTTGAGCTTCGAGATTAGGTTGCTTCTTTGAGTTCTTTCTTGTTTCTTGATGTGAGCTTCTATTGCTATATATTTTCCTCTTATTACTGCTTTTGCTGCATCCCATACATTTAGGATATTGGTGTCCTCCTTGTCGTTCAATTCAAAAAATTTTTTAATTTCTTCTTTGATCTCCTCATTAGTCCAATGGTCTTCCAGTAGTGTGGTTTTTAATCTCCATGAGGTAGGAAAGTTCCTTGCCTTCTTTTTATGGTTTATTTCTAGTTTGATGCCTTCATGGTCAGAAAAGATGGTTGATATGATTTCAATCTTGGTGTATCTGTTGATGTTTGTCTTGTGCCCCAGTATGTGATCGATCCTGGAGAATGATCCGTGTGCGCTTGAGAAAAATGTGTACTCCGTTTTTTTGGGGTTAATGTTCTATAGATGTCTGTTAAGCCCAATTGCTCTAGGTCTTTATTTAGAGCTTTGGTTTCTTTACTTATTTTTTGTCTTGTTGATCTATCCATTGTTGATAGTGGTGTGTTGAAGTCTCCCACTACGTATGTGTTTTCTCTGATGTCTGTTTTCAGAGAGGACAACAGTTGTCTGATATATTTTGGTGCTCCTTCGTTTGGTGAGTATATGTTAATGAGTGTTATTTCTTCTTGAAGTATTGTCCCCTTGATCATAATGTAGTGACCATTGGGGTCTCTTTTTATCTTTTTGAGTTTGAAATCTGTTTTATCTGATATAAGTATAGCTGTTCCTGCTTTCTTTTTTGGTCCATTTGCTTGTAGGATTGTTTTCCATCCTTTAACTTTGAGCCTATTTTTATCTTTTGTAGCTAAATGTGTTTCCTGGAGACAGCAAAAGGTTGGGTTTTGTTTCTTAATCCAGGCTGCAACTCTGTGTCTTTTTATTGAAGAGTTTAGTCCATTTACATTTAGAGTTAATATTGATATGTTAACATCTGTATTTGCCATTGTGTTTGTCTTTCCCTTGATTTTATTTATTTATTCTTTTAATAACTTTTTTTTTTTTTTTGGCCTTCTTTCATTGTTATTCGTCGCTCTGAGGTTCTGGCTTTAGAACTCCTTGTAGTATTTTTTGGAGTGGGGGTTTAGTTGCAATGAAATTCCGGAGTTTCTGTTTGTCTGGGAAGGTCCATATTCTTTCTTCAAAGAGGAAGGAGAGCTTTGCGGGATAGAGTATTCTTGGTTGGCATCTGTTTTCTTGGAGTCTGTTGACTATGTCCCTCCACTCTCTCCTTGCCCGTAGTGTTTCTTCGGAGAAGTCTGATGTCAGCCTGATTGGTTTTCCTTTGAATGTTATCTGTTTCTTCCCTCTTGCCAGCTTCATTATTTTTTCCTTGTCCTGGATTCTTGGGAGCTTTACTATTATGTGTCTTGCTGTATTTTTCCTTTCGTCGTGGAAGTTTGGTGTTCTTCTTGCTTCTTGTATATCAATTTTCAGCTCCTTCTTCACATTTGGGAAGTTCTCTTCAATTATCTCTTTGAATATTTTCTCTGTTCCTACATCTCTCTCCTCTCCTTCTGGTATTCCTATAACTCTTATATTTCCTTTCCTCATGGAGTCCGATAGTTCCCGAAGTCTTTCTTCGTTCTTTTTCCTTCGTACTTCTCTTTCCTTCTCTGTTTTGGTTCTTTTTATTTCTGTGTCTTCAAGATTACTTATTCGTTCTTCCATTTCATCTATTCTGCTTTCATTGCTTTTCCCAGAATTCTTTAGTTCTTCCATTAATTCTTTGATCTCCTGCATTTCTTTTACTTCCCTCTTTAGGGACTCAATTTCTTTCTTCTGACCATTGTTTTCCCTCTCTAGGGACTCAATTGCATTCTTCTGATCGTTGATTATTTTTCCCTTATCATTGTTTTCCTTTATGACTTCTGTCAGTTTTTTAATCACGGCAATTTTAAATTCTCTTTCTGGAAGGCTCAGAAATTCTTCCAAGTTATTGTCGTTGCAATCTGGGGGCTGGCTTTCTTTTTGTGGTGTGCTTTTTCTCTGGAGAGTTGCTAGGTTGTGTGTGGTTCTTCTCCTCCCTACTGTCTGTTTTCTAATTTGCCGTATGCGTTGGGCCACTGTGTTGTTGGGACTTGCCGGCATCTTGGGTGGGCTTCTCTGTTCCCCTCTGGTTCTTCCAGGAGTCATCTGTCAGTTTCAAGCAGCCTTTACTGGAGAAAGGTCCCTGTTCTAAAATGCCGATGTGGGGACACACTCCCCTGTGCGCCTGGTCTGCCCCGGCGGTGGGTTCCTGCTCCCCTCTGGGCTTGGACTGCAGGCCAGAGGGGGTCTGGCGTGGGCGAACTTCCCCCGCTCACCTCTGGCTCCTGAGGAAGCCTTCTGCAGGTAGTCTTTACTGAAGAAATGTCCCTGTTCTAAAATGGTGATGTGGGACACACTCCCTGCGCTTCTGGTCTCAGGCACACTATTCTGCGCGCCTGGTCTGCCCCGGCTGTGGGTGCTCGCTCTCCCTGTGGGCTCAGACTACTTGTTCAGAAGGGGCCCGGTGTGGGCTAACTCCCCAGCTGGCCACTAGCTCCTTCAGTAGCCTGTGCTGGGGTCAAGTCGCTAGGTGGCACCAGAGATCTCTCCTAGAGCCCTTGGGGAGCTGATTTTCCACCCCGTGGGACAGGGAGCAGAGCTGGGATGGTAGGGTACACCTCAACGGCTTTGGGGTGCTGTGTCTGCCTTGTGCCCCACCGTCGTGGGGAACCCACGCCCCTAATTTCGTGCCCCGGGTCTCAGTTCCAAAGCCCTCAGTTCCAGGACGCGGGCTGTAGCCCAGATCAGTGGCGCGGGAATGGCGCCTTTTGAATCCCGCTCCCCTGCCTGGGCGCCTTGTTCCTGCTCACTCAGGGAGGGCCTCCGCCCGGGTCTCAGTTCCAAAGCCCTCAGTTCCAGGACGCGGGCTGTAGCCCAGATCAGTGGTGCGGGAATGGCGCCTTTTGAATCCCGCTCCCCTGCCTGGGCACCTTGTTCCTGCTCACTCAGGGAGGGCCTCCGCCGTCTCCCAGCAAGCCTAGGTCGCAGGCGCAGGGCCCTGGGCAGCTGCAATCCGAGCGCCGCTTTCGCGCAAGCTTACCGGGCGGCTGGGGCTGTGTGCTGGTGCTGGGCTCCTCCTGGTGGGCGGGGCTCTCTTTACTGGCGCCTGGAGCTCACCTCCGCGGCGGATCCTGCAGGGTTCGCCTCAGCTCCCGTTCACGGGGTGTGGTGGCTGAAATAGTTCCTTTCCACTCACAGTCCCACTTGCTGCATCCGTTTTTCTTGTTGGGCGTTTTGGTTTGTTGTTTCCCTTGTCTCTGCCGGTCGGAGAGTGCCGCCTCTGTGGGCAGGGGAGGGGAGCAGGGTTCTGCGCTTCCCTCCCTTCTCGTCCTCTTTTATGGCAACTTTCTTCTTCGGGCAGTTTGCTGGAGTCGTCCGTTTATCTTCCCTGTCTCAGTTCTCACTGGGACCTGCCGCTTTTCCTCCCTATTCACTTTTTTTAATGGGAGATCTTACTCGCAGCGTCTCCTTGCCGCCATGTTGCTCCGCCCTTCTATTTATTTATTTATTTATACAAGAACTGGGGTACAGGCCAGATGCGCGGGAGGGCGAGATGATTCAACAGGGACAGGGTGGGGAACAGAACAGGCAGACTGACGAAATACACTGCTGAGGGGAGCAGCGGGCATGGCAGGAGAGGTCTGCTGAGCCATGTGGTACCCTCACCGGCCGGCCGGTCGGGATTGAACCTGCGCTGCAGAGGCCACAGACAGCTTCACAGCGCTATGCTCAACTACCTGCGCCACCTGGGGAGGCCCTACCAATCCTTCCTTTAAAGGGAAGATATTGGTAGCAATTCCAAACCAGTTAAGAGTAGGGAATAGTGTTGTGAGATTTGTTTTTAATCACCAAGGAAATTCTAATATAGGGGTTATTCTAGTATATGGGTTATAGGTAAAATTATCTGACCATATTATACTTGCTTTTACATAACTATAAAAAATAAGTAACTGTAATAATGTAGCTATTTCAGATGTTTCAGTATTCCTAGATCAATTTAGTAGAAATTTTACTGAAAATGCACTTTAAATGTGGAATTTGTGTTCATTTGTTCATTCATACTTGCAGTCAACAAATATTTATGGACTGTACAGTGTGACAACCTCTATTTTAATTGGCTAACAGTAAATGAGAGTCTCTAGCCTCATACGATTTATAGCATGATAAGAGTGGCAGCTATCAATTAAGCAAAACAAGCTAAACAGAAAGATGACTTCATGTTGAAAAAAATTATTTTGAAATGTAAAAAAAAACTTTGAAAAATGCATGGTCAGGGAAGGTGTCTGTGAAGGCCACATTTTAGATGAACCTGAGGAGCCACACCAGAAGATCCCAAAGTTTGGCATGTCAGACTGGATTATCCACAACGGTATGGCATCTCTTGGCTGATTCTGATTCTACTAAATATCTAGCTTCTGGGTTTTAATTATATTTTATGGAAGATGTCAGCCAAAATTTTCATGTCTTAGCAGAGATCCTGTTTCCTAAAAAGATGTTAACTCGGGTCTCATGAAGCCCAAGGCATTGTTTTTCACTTTTATACTTTTGTGCAGAGCTGCACGGGTGCTCGGGGTGTGCTAACCATGCAACTTTCTTTCCTCTTGTGTCACCAGGCCTCCGGAACCTGTTTACAGCACTGTGAACAAACTGTGTGATAAGCCTGCTTCTCCCAGGCACTATTCCCCTGTTGAGTGTGACAAAAGCTTCCTTCTCTCAGCTCCCTACCCTCACTATCACCTAGGCCTGCTCCCTGACTCTGAGATGACCAGGTACTGCATGCGCTTCTCACCTCATCTCCAACTGCATGTGCTTCCACAGGATAAATGGGTAGAATCCACCTCTGCTCACTTCTCTTGTACTGGATACCTCCCTCGTAACAGAGAGATGTTCTCCCTCAGTGCAATGGGAGAAATTAAGAATTTTTTTTTTTATTTCTAATATGACCACAGAATCTTCAGACATATACTTTTCTAGAAGAATTAATTTTGAAGTTTAACTAGCACTGTTTCTTCATACGGAAGGATGAAAGACAACATTTATTGAGTACATTTTTAAATAATAATTGATGAACATTTACTATTCTCCAGGCATAACATAGGCTAATGAAAGATAGAACTATCACCATTTAACATTTTAACGAAATGTAGAATTGATGTCACAATTTAACTAACTCCTTGAGATATTAAATAATGCAGCCACAGCTATAGAATTAGGTAGTTCTATCTAATCACAAATAATATAATCTTATTTTACTGTGTTTTCTTGCTAGGTGTTTCCATGTATGTTCTCTTACTATTATATATTATATTATATTATATCATATATTATTATATATAAGAAAACAGGGGTTCAGAAAAGTTAAGGTGATTCCCTCAATATGATATTGTCAATAAATGTGGAGTCCAATTTGACCTTAGATGTTTTCAGTCTCTTGACAATACTCTGTAAGTAAATTGTTCTCAGTCTAAGGGTGGCATGTAATTCTGCATCAATATACCAAAGCATACACTTGATAAATAATGAAACTCTATCTTCACCTAGTAGCCAGAGTCAGAGTATGAAAAGAAGCCTGTGTTTTATCAAGTAGTTACAATTCAGTTTAAATCAAGAGACCTCAATTGCCATGGCTCTATACATAATGCGGAGCTGGAATAGATAGACTATCTTCATAATATTGACAGTGCTGACAAAATAGAGTTTTAGGATGATTCAAACTAAAAATGCCAAAAGTGTGTCATTAGAGCATCTGTTTTATTTTTTTTATATTTTCAAAGAGAAAGTTTAGAAGTCAATTACCTTCCTCTTTGGGTAGTTAGGGAGCAAATTTTAAAGTCTAAGATTTCTAGAAATAAATGAGAAATATATAGATATTGGCAGTGTAATGAGCTGGGGCATTTTTTACTAATTTTCAGCAGCTAAAGTCTAATAACATTTTAGAGCACCCTATAAATATTAATTAAATCCTCCTGAATTTTTAACAAGTCCTTTCTCTTAATTCAGTAAACTATACACATTGAAGCTAAAATAGTAAAGTTACCACATCCCCGGAAAAGGGAGAAGGTACACACCTACAATAATGACTTTCTAGTAGTCATGCATCTGTTGTTAGCTACAAAAAGGCTAAAGACAACAGTTATTTTGAGTTCTTTCTCTGTGCCAGGCATTTTAAGTATTTCTTATGAACTATTTCTTTTAACCCTGAAGATCACCTTTCAAAGTCACTCTTATAGTTATCTTCACAAGTGAGGAAACTGAGACAGAGAAGTCACCAATGCACCCAAGGTCACCCAATAATAAGTGGCGGGGCTGGGATTCACACCCAAGTGACCATTACTACCTGCATCAGCTGAGGCATGACCTTTGCTTGCTGGAAAAAAACTTTCCCACTTTCAATTCTTTTTTCTATTCTACATTTTCATCTCTCCCTCTGGCTCATTGTCAATCAATCATTTTTTAACCCTGCTATTTTTTAATGAACATATAAGTTATATTCCTTGCACCCCACTGGGGATGTTGATTTATCTGCTGCCAAAAACTTCCCAATGAGTAGATAATAGAGTCTGCCTTTTCTGCAGGCCCAAATGATATGGTTCTTCAGTTTGGTTCCTGTAATCTGTATTAGAAAATCACAGGATTTCTTCATCATTTTTCCCAAATTAAGAAATGTGATAGAGTTTTGAATGTGCCTTTTTCAAATCAGCCCTCCTGATATGGACTAGTCCCCAGACCCATCGTCCATCCTCCTTTGGGGAGTTCAATTTTCTATTCTAAATCTGTCCACTTGCCTCTACTCCCCCTTCTATCCTTTCTCTGTATTTTATCATTCATTTCTAGGGGAAAAAAATCGCATACACAAACACACACATTTAGTGGCATCATCACTAGCACACTAGATCAAGATACTGAAATTCTTTTTTTTTTTTTTTTTAAGATTTATTTATTTATTTATTTATACAAGCACTGGGTACAGTCAGAAGCATGGGAGGGTGAGAGAATTCACCAGAGCCAGAGCAGGGAGCAGAACAGGCAGATGGACGAAGTACACTACTGAGGGGAGCAGCGGGCGGCAGGAGAGGTCTGCGCGCCATGTGGGACCCTCGCCTGGCGGCGGGGGATCAAACCAGTGCTGCAGAGGCTGCTGGCAGCTTTGCAACCCAGCGCTCAACCACTGCACCACTGGGGAGGCCCAAGATACTGAAATTCTTGATCTCATTCAACTTTGCTGCCCCCCTTCCACATTCCCCCAACTTAGTGAATGGCACATGCATCTATCCCATTGCATGGGCCAAAATTGTGAGAATCATTAACCCTTTGTTCTCCCTTTCAACCATCACTTAGTTCTTCTAGTCTTACTGATTTTACCTCAAAAATATATCCCAAATCTGTTCATTCTCTTCTCCTTCTATTTCCACCACTTTACTCCCGATCTTCATCATCTCCCACAAACGATACACTTTTATTTGGTCTCACTAGTATCCTTGTGGCTTATCCTCAGTGCAGCCGAAGAGATCTGTTCAACGTACAGATCTGATCTATTTCTCTCTTTTTGCATTAGTTATAAAATGCAAAGGCATTCACATAGCCTTCAAGCTCTGCATGATGTAGCCTCTGCCTGCCTCTTAAACATTTCATTTTACTCTTTCTTTTGCCGACGAAACTGTTCATATTGGCTTTCCTTTTATTCACAGTATGAACTAAATCTCTTCATGTCTCAAGCTGTTCACATATGCTTTTTTTTTGTTTTCAAATGAAAAGTACTTCTTATACTTTGCCTAGTTAACTTCTGGTCATCTTAGATCTTACCGTAAATTGTCGTTCCTCGGAAGTTTATAACCGTACCTTTATGTACTTTTCAAACTAAGTGTGTCTCACACTCTATGCTTAAAGTTCAGTTTATGCCACCATCGGACCTTGAATAACTCATAAAATCTCAGAGGTATATGCAAATTTAGAATTAGAGAGACAAACCCTTCTCTAATTCTAGTAATGAGGAGGAACCCAATCCATTGTCTTCACAGGCTCGTAATTCCACTTAATGATAAAATAAAAGATATTTTGGGATATTTTGCCTTAAAAAGGATATAGGAATATATCTGTCAATTGTTCAACCAATATTTATCAAGAACTGACAAAATGCAAGAACAACTATGCCAGAACAATGTTTGATGAAGTTATAAACTAACAAAGCTAAGAAAAAAACTTGAAGAAAATTTCCAACTAACCTCTAAGTTGCAACCTGTGGTAAAGTATATTTTTCAGGGCATCTGAGAATTTCTCAGTCTATTCCAGAAGCAGCACGTGTTAATATGTCAGTTAGTGTCTCAGTTTAGCATTTCTGGCAGCTCTGTAAAGCCACATTTACACAGGTAGCAGCTTAATCTCCAGTCACTATTCAGAAGAATAGAGGCCAATCAGCGAAAGCGAGGAGACTCACTCATCTGTGCTCTCCGCCTTTTAATGAGAATATCTGATTTTTCATCGTTTGAATTGATAACAAACATTCAGAGATAGATTTATTTTTTTACACAATTTACTTCTATAATATAATCTAAAAGAAAACAGAAGTTATAAAAGTTACTTAGGAAAGAAATCTAAATTACTTGGCAACATGCCAATACCTAAGGCTGCAGCTTACGTTTCGAGTAATTGACTTTTCAAACCTTGCAAAAGGGAGAAATGAGCAGAATCTATAATCAAGCTGAAATGAGGAGCTTTATAAAAAAGCAATTGGGATTGTTATGGGACAACTGCTTATCCAGTATATCTTTTTCTTACAAAAAGAGAAAAGTTTTTGATGCTGTGATTATATCTCTATTTTGTAAGAACAGTCAGTAAGTTATTAAGTATTTTATATTCCTAGGGCAAGGAGAATAATATTCTCGTCTGTTTTCTCAGCGTGTATGATGTTTTTTCATTTGTCCTTTTATATAGATAGTCCTAATTATTATTACTTTGCAGTTGATAACTAAAGCTGAGCTATAGTAGATAAGTGCTAATTAAAATATGTTAGCAGATTTTGCATAGGAAATGGACCATATGACATTACATGGTCACAATACATATTTACTCATTTAAGAGTATATATCTATGGACTTTTGCTAGATACCAGGCATTATCTTACATGCTAGGGACTCAGTGGTGATTAAGATATGGCCCCTTCTCTTAAGCATTTTCAAGACATGTCGGTGAAAAATTCTTTACTTCCTTGTGATTTATATCTGCTTAAGGCCCTCACTTTCTGCAGTGTAGTAACTAAGATCAGACCAATATAAAATGTATGATGGAAGCAACCTTGTTTCACCAATTCCTAGGCATTCATAAGAAGCATTATTTATGGGAAACTTAACCTTATAAACTTACCTTCTCATAGGTCCATCTGCTAGGCTACCTTCTCACTCTTCTTTATAAGGCTCATAATCCATGTCAACAACTCATTCCCTTTGTTGAAATCATGAAGTTGCCAAACTTGAGCCACACTTAGTTTGGGGATACAAAATAAGATTTTTATTCACAAGACCTTAGCTATATACCAAAATTATAGTGGTCTCTCTTTGTCAAATTTTCTGTCCTTGCAAAATAATATTTTAAAAAAACCCTATTAATACCTTAATTGTCTCAAAAGCTATAAATCCAAAATCAAATAGAGCTTCTGGACATACCAGTGCTGTAATAGAAGTAGATAGGAGACTCTAAAATAAGCAGAGGAGGAATCATGTAACTCTGCCTCTCAAAGTTTTCAGAAAAACACTGAGCTCCTCAGTTAGGTGAG